GTAATCCTCTCTGATCAGATTATCATTTAAGATGAATTTTAATCACAGACCTTTAAAATGCGAAATATGCGTGCGTGAAATATCTTATGAAACATCGCAATGCATAATTAATTTCGATTTGTTCAACTTATAAATTTTTGAAAAATTATTACTTTAGTTTAAATATCAAGTATCTTGAATTTTATTTGAAAAATTCAAGAGCTTCTAGTACATTATAATGCTTTGTTTTTTATAATATGGATACCTATATTTTATTTGACTTTAAACTTTATTTATAAAAATTATTAAATAATTTATTAATATAATATTGAGAATTGATGTAATTTTTTTTCTTCTTTATTTCGAAGTACTTTATTTGATAATCATACTTTAACAAATGTGGAATTGACTTTTTATAACAAAAATTAAAACAAGTACCGCTTTTCTCCAACGTTGTTTTTTGAAAATAAATGTTCTACTAAAATTCCGGTTTAGAGTAAATTAGGGTAATGCATATACAGTATGTTAAATAAAGAATGATGTTCCAAAACGAGTGGGAAGAAAGTGCAAGTAAAATGAGCAGACCTATTAAGTCAATCCTGAATTATGCAAATATTTTTGGTGCTTGTATTAATTCATCCTAAGTAACTAGATGCCGGAAACATATGTCGGAATTTATTGACATCTATAGAATCTGAGAGTCGGCACGACAAATTGATGTGCTAATATGTGATAGGAATTTGCTTCAAAGACGCCATCAAAAACGAATTTTATTACTAGAGAAAGTGCTTGTTTGTCGTATCATAAGATCCGTTCGTTTTTAAATACTTCCAATGCTCGTATACGTATAATACAATAAACGTAATATGAATTACAATAATTTTTGTATAAAGTAAAAAGAGAGGAAAGAAACAAAAATGTAGAAGATATAATTAAAACATTGAGTTTGTTACCTTGACCGCTATATTTGGAATGTTATTCCCGGTTACTGACACACGGAGTGTGTTTTTTTCTTTTAGAGTAATTAAAAGCTTTTTCACGGATGTAAAAGAAGAAAAGTTGTTATACATTTTAACTTCTACCGGATTCTAAATTGTTTCATTTTAATAATACTGTAGAAAATTAAAAAAATTTGTAACTAAGACTTACTATGAAAAAGATTGCGTTATATTCTAAAAATAAATTTTGATTTAGCTGTATAAAAGATTTGTTATCAAAAATTCAAATTAAATTAAATTTGAATTGAACTTTGAAATATAACGGTATACGATATAAATAAGGCTCTAACTATAATACATATAAACACAATGCAACGTTTTATTCAAGTTATTTTATTACATAGATTCTAGCCAAGAATATTTTTATCGTCATTTTTAGTAAAATAAAACATAGATATATAATAAAGTAGCAGAAGAATCATCAGTATAACGTGAACTTTGATATTAACATAAAAAGTGCCGGCAACCTTTTAATATCTTCCGTATGTAATTCTTTACAACTAGCACACGTAATTTCTGTTAAAATATTCCTCTATTTTTGAGAAATTATATTCGCGACGCATGCAGCATGTTGAAAAGTATGCGGGCTTATCTCGTGAGCTCGACACTGCAGTTTAAATCATTGTCTTTGCTAGAAGGTTAAGGACCCAGGCTATTAAGAGCAAACCGGTTTCGTGATATTTTTTGTAACATGAAATTGCTTAAGAATCCGCATAGTCTTTTTAACTGACAATCCGTTAACGGAACAATGATTAATTGTTTAGATTATGTGTGTGTATATATATATATATATATATATATATTTGAATCTACATCATACATTAATATTTTAAACACTTATTTTTATTCTATCCGAGATTATTCCACAAATTATGTAAATAAAATTAATACAGATAAATTAAATTTCATGAAAATCATCACTTTTCGACCGCTTATACGTTTAGAACGGCTTAATTGATGAAAAATTTTTTTTAATTCAAATTACTCATGGCAATGCCGCCTTTCAGGACATATTGGTGTAGTAAAAAGAAATCTATTATTTTTGCACGAAATCTATTGGAAAAATAATAGATTTCTTTTTACTACACCTAATATTATATGCGATTCAAGATTTTTTATATTTTAGTAGTTATTATGCATCCCCGTAAAATGAATTTTGGTGGCTTGAGATAAGAGACTTGTAGTGTCTTTTAGTTTTTGAACATGGTCAAAGACATTACCGCGTCTCCTGATTTCCAGTTCGGTGTACAAATACAAATATAAAAGATAGATTTAATTAAACGATAGATAAATGAAGTGTTAGTTTCATGTAAAAACAGCTGATTTGTATTTATGTCTCTTAAAGTATCTTGGGTTCGATTTCCGATGTTTTGTGCCAATGATTCTTTAACTCTGCTTAAGACATTATACTGTTTTTATGTTTTATTTGTTTCTGATAATTATATATAATACTATGGTACACAAATTTAAGCTTCTCTTAAGACGGCAAATATCTCAGCAGTCACTTGAATCGTATTATATAGTATCAGCTTTTATTGTGCATTCACACACACACACACACGCACACACACACACACACACACACACACCCACACACACACACACACACACAATTGTCAAATTCCAATATATGATATATAAATCACAATAACACTGATGCTTGCTTCCACCAATGCAGATTAACTTTAATCTCGGTTTAACTTACTGTTCATCTTTTTCTAATTTTTAGAATTAGAAAAAGATGAAGAGCAAATTGAACCGAGATTAAAAGTTAATCTGCATTGGTGGAAATGGGCATGAGAAACCTATTTCATTGAATCAAACAAAACTTAAAAAAATTCGGTTTTATTCAACCCAACAGATCTTTTAGTGTATTTTTAATGATATTATCATACATTTGTTTTAAATCATCAAAAAGATAAAAGAATAAGATTAATATAAGCCTAAGTCCCACTAATTAAAATTATAACATAACATTATTGTTATAATTTCAAACTCAAAAATGCAACTATTATGTCATATATACGTTATATTTATATTGTTGAGTGTAAAATTATATTAATATATATTGATGTTTAATTTAGTTGATATTCACTAAATTATTCATGCAGAGATAAACAATTTATATCCTGTGCTTTTACTCCATATTTAGAATGTGCTACTTTTATTAGCGCGCTTTTATTTCTAAAATTCTGTAGTATACGTAACTGAAGTATATGCTAAATGCATGTTGACATCGTCATAAGCGCATTCTGAATACGGGCCTTTGTTTCTGGCAAGAACATATAAGACAACGGCCATTTAACCAATCTATTACATGGATTAAGTACATTCGCTCCTCATTTGATCAACACCGCGATTGGTCATACATAGATCAATGAAGGTTGCTGCAATGGTCACATTCTGCGAACTCGAAGCGAAACGAGGATTCTCCTTTTTTCTATACATTTTTCTGCGTATCTGTTTACGGATTTCTATGACTAACATGAATTTTCTTCATCGTTTCAACTAAACGAGAATAAAATTGTTTAAAAAATAAACAATAAACGCTCTTGATATGTTTAAAAAACATATGCGCACTTCGCGATTATAATAAATACAGCGTAATAAATACGGATGAATGGAAGAATAACATAAAGCAATCAATTAGAATGTACCATTATTATTGTACATGAAAATTTATAAAGAAAACACTTTTTTCAAGAATCTAATTATTATTAGTGTATCTAATTATTATTAGTATATCAGTTATTAATGATTTACATACATATTAAACTAAATTATTCAAAATATTTATGGATAAAAGACATATTGCATATAAAACATTTTATACATTATTAAAAATGTATGCAAACTGATTAAGCTTATAATATTCTATTCATCTATTGTATCGGCACTTCGACATTATTTTTAAAATCTGCACGATATTACAATACTACTTATTATTAATAAGAACGCAGGAGTGCAATTTAACATTGCATAATTATTATCTGCTTCTGTTGTGGAACTTACTTCTCTTTTTTTTGTCGTACTTTCAGTTGTAGACTTTTCAGTAGAACTGGTTATCCTAGTTGTTGAAGATGTATTTTCAGTGGAATCAGTGGTAATGGTAATGGTACCTTTCTCCGTTGCTAAAACGATATTTCTAATAAATAACAATGTTGCTAAAATTATTAATTACTATGAGAGTGGATCAAATATAAACGAGAATTAAAAAAAAATGTTTTATATGAAATAAAAGTACAAAACATTTTATATTTTTCTTTACGTAGTCTTTTGCTTGGGAAACGCATTTTTCCCACCTAATTGGAAGCTTTTTTTATGCCGTCATTATAAAAGGAAGGTGGACGTGTTGTGAGCCAATTGTACACGAAGGCCTCTACTCCTGCGTTGTCCGCAAAACGCTTCTCTCCTAACACCTCTTTTAGGGGTCCAAATATGTGAAAGTCGCTTTCAAAGGAGAGTCCCTTTCAAAGAGTTCTCTTCTGTATCATATCATTTATATTTGATCCACCCTCGTAATATACAAATAAAAATTTATAATAAAATATATATAAACATAAATAAATTTATATTGACATATATTTTATTTAAAAATAAACAAATTACAAGTGGCTTCTAAATTAAAAACTAAAATCTTAAAAACGGCACAGGACCACAACGCAGGATGTAAATTGCGATAATATTAAATTTCATTTTCGAATATATAGATAAAATGATAATAAATAAACGTTTCGGTCTATATCAGACCATCTTTAGTATACAATAAATTAATATAATTTGATTTGATTTAATACAATTGATATAAATAAGATTAATTTCCTTCCTACTTACTATAATTAATATGTTAAAAAATGTTTCATTCTCACATGTTTTAAAATTAACATCGGAAAAACTCTAAAAAATTTCTACGACATAAATTAATGTGTATTCAAGAATTAAATTTAATATTACCGCAATTTACTGCGTTATGATTCTATGCCCTTCTTAAGATTTTATATTTTATTTATTTATGTTAATGTATTAAAAACAAATACTTGTGGTAATAATTGATTCAGTTGTGGTTTGTTCTTGTTTTTCGTTGCTTTTTAATACAACCGCAGCATTTGCTGTTAATATAAAATTGTCCCGTGGAACAGTACCTCTGAAAATATACGATTTACAGAGTGATTTGTAATTCTGTTATATAACGAAATTTTTTTTATTACGTTTATGTTTCAAAGTAATAAAATTTATTATTATTAATAGTTTGTAAATAATTGTTACTTTTTCTTTAATAAAATGCATCAGTATAAGTTTGATAAGAAATTTTGTATGAACTATTTTACACATTATTTTATGTTAATATTTTACACAACTTACGTGACGCGAATTGCATTACTAGAAGCCACAACCATATTTAAAGTATTTTTTAAATTAGCATGAATTGAAGTCAAATTAACTTTCTCTTGTCGTAGACCCAAATTAATTACAATAAAATACAATGGATAATTTTTCAAAGACCTGATTATTCATATAAAAAATAATTAATTAACAAAATTCTGTTTTGATAAGATATTATTTATCTATAAATATTGTATATACCAACCTCTTTAACACCAACACGCGATCATTATTTAAACTTACAAATTCGTAATCTCCATCTGTAAAAACTGGTTGTTTCCTTAGAATAACCAGCTGCTTGTACGTTTTCAAATTGCTTCTTATTCTATTTCGTTGAATTTCTACATTTCTATTAATATAATTAAGGTGAATGGGGAGATATGTGGTTTCATTTATAGAGAAACCAGCTGAACTTTTGGAACTCCATTGCATGGGAGTCCTAGCTGGATCTCTTGAAAAGTATTTGTATTCATTTATGCCTCTGGCACAACCCATGGGATCAATGGTACTATTCCAAAATATTTTTGTGTCTAACATAGCTATTTCTTCACCATAATATGTGTATGCTTGTCCAGGTAATAAAAGACTAAGCATGTGAAGGCCGTCGATTCGGTTAAACCCAATTCTTGAAGCTGCTCTTGAATTGTCATGATTTGATAACTATATTTATAAAAGATAATTCAGTTTATAAGTAAAAAAAATGTATTAATTTTTACATATTTTAATATAAATTTAACATATTTTTTTCTTTAAAGCAGATAAAAACGATATAATAATAAATTAACAACATAAAATTTTTTTCTCTTAGTTTTTATCGAATTTATTCAATTTATTATTTAAAACTCTTACCACCCAATTAGTCATGATGTTTTTCGGAAGAAGTTTAAGCCATTTCTCTAAGATATGCTTAATATAAGTAGCATTACTATTGTTATGGATGTGTGTAATAAATTTAAAATTTAACGGTGCAATTCCTTTATGCGTATTATTGCCGTAATATGCCAATAAGTTATCATCAGAAATGTCATATGATTCTGCGATTAACAATCTGATGATGCCATTAAATTGTATTAATTTTAATAATTTACGTATATATTATATATACATGTTATAATATAGTACATTAATAATATTGTTATAATTTTGATATCATACTTTGATGTGGCATTATTTCTTGATACCCAGTTATCAATATATTCACGAAATATGTAAAGAAGAGCGGTGCTTTCAGGAAGACCAAAAGTATAAATATCCTTTTTCACAAAGGACTCATTTCTTAAGGCTTCGTCTTCAAAAAAATAAGGCACTGCATTAATCCGGAAACCATCAACATTTCTTTTTAACCAAAAGTCAAATATACCCTGTTTACAAAAATAAAATATTTATGGATTATTTTATGAAAAATAAGAATGAATCAAGAATAAGAATTCTAAAATATACGTATTAATATTGTAATTATTTCAATTTATAGTATCTATAATTATTGTATGTAAGTTAATAATATATGCCGATTACATAATTAAAATGCTTTCAAATTTGTTTTAAAATTTTAAACATTTTAAAATTATTTTAAAGTTAATTGGCAAATTATTATTATGAAAAAAATTTGATTTATATTTTATCTTTTTAAATTTATATTTAATTTTATAATTAGAATTTTTAAAAACATAAATAAATATTTTAATTTTAAGACAATCTATTAATTACCATTAATTCCTTAATAACTTTCTCGTTTCTCAAATTAAGATCTGGCTGAGAACTATGAAATTTATGATAGTACCATTGTTGCCTTTTATCGTGCCATGACCATGCAGAACCATTTTCGTCGTTGTATGTGCTTATCTGTGTTAAAAATATGAAAAAGATGTTTATCTTGGTAAATAGCAGGAAATAGACGTTATTTTTCAATTTTTTGTTGTTAATAACTTTATTTAAAGACGAGTACCAACTGAAACCATCTGAAGGTCACTCAGAATCATGACCATGACAACATATGTCAAGGTCAAGATCATCGAAGATGAGTTCCTCATTGTCGATATTTATCTTTATTTTATCTAATTTTTTAAAATGATATTGTATATATAAATTATATCTAAATTTAAAAAAATTATTTAATTATCAAAAGATAATGTTTCTTTTTTTCTCTTAAATTCTGCATGTAAATGTATCTTTAAAAAATTTTAATTATTTACATTTATAAAAACAATTTAATTAAAAAAACATTGTGCGAACATTACATTTTGGAAAACAATAAAAAACTGAAAAAAAATGTACCCAATTATTTGGTGGAATATTTTTGCCGTTTTTATCGATGCTACCATTGGTCCAGATATAATAATCAATATACGGCTGAACATTTCTTGCTGACAACTGGAACCATTCGTGCTGATCACTGGAATGGTTAGGAATAACATCCAGAATGACTTTCAATCCTAAAAGTTTAATAATAAAATTATAATAAATAAATAATAATTAAGAAAGTAATATTATAGTATATAAAATATCGAACATATAACATGTATAATAACAAATATTTATGTAGAATATGAAAAACTTTCTGAACGTCTCTTTTTTTGTGAAAGATTGAAGTATAATAATAAATAATAATAAGGCTCCGTAAGTATAAAATACAATAGAATGATTCAAGGGCTAAGAGCCAGTTATGTAACAAAGATAATTTAATTTAAAACATATATAAAGTATAATAAATTTCTAACTATATACATATCAAATTATTATTTACTACTTTATACCTCGATTGTGTACCTCTTGCATCAAATTATCGAAGTCACTTAAATTCCCAAAAAGAGGGTCTATGTCCGTATAATTGGAGACGTCATATCCTGAATCGAATAATGGTGAAACATAAATAGGATTTAAACAAATCGTTTCGATTCCAAGATTCGTAATATAATCAAGTCGATTAATAATACCTATAAATAAATTGCATTAATAATATAACAAAAAAAGTATTACAAATACATAATATTATAGATACATGATTAAAAATAATTTAAGGTATTTATATGCATATTTAATATACATATATAAAATATTACAATATATGCATGAATATATTAATAGGAAGATAGCATCCTAATATTTTACTCAAATTTGTATATATCTAATCAAAAAATTTTGATATTATTTCAATTTTCTATTAATAATAACAATAAATTTGTGTTACCTACCCTTTAGATCACCCTCACCATCACCATCACTATCCTGAAATCCTCTGGGCCAGATTTGATAAATTAATGTGGTTTCCCACCATTCTCTATCTGCAAGCTCCTCATTATCCATTCCATTTGTCCAAAGCACGAAGATACTTATTAATGTAACGTAATACATAAACGCTACCATCGCGCATCAAGTTGGATAATGTTTCAATTTATCTAAATTTGTTTATGCGTAAAGGAAAGTGTTTATATAGTATAAAAAATTGGTCGAAAATTAATTATATATCTCTATATGTTACAATATTTCTTATTAAAGAAACTCACACATACCTGAGATAATAAATCTTGAATCTATTATCTATATTCTTGATTTCTCGGTTAATCGTTTTTCTGGATAATCACAATCAATTAAAATTTGTTTCTATATTATAGTGCCGTTCTTAACATAGTCCTCTTGTGAATGATAAAAAAATGACGCGTTAAAATTCTGCATGACAGATAATTGTGTTATCAATATCGCTGTCTTGATTGAAATTGACTGTTGTAAAATGTGAGGTAGGGATACTTAATTCCGGTAAAAAAAAATAATAGTAATGCAAAGTTTCAAAGAAATTTGCACATATTAATTACACGTAATATAACAAAAAACAATAGAATTATAATATTAAGTATTAATTATAAATGTATCACCGTAATAATGTGTATCTACGTTAATTAATTTTCAAATAGTATACCTATAGGTGGGATTTGATATTTTTAATTGCAAATTTTTTCTAAAGAGAGATTGAAATAGAAATTTCTTCAAAACCACACTTTTCTAGGATAAAATTTTCTCACAAATATCCAATGATATCAATCAAATTTAGTGAAAAAATTACTCTGCAATAAAAAATTTATTCTAAGTAAATTACCTCTTGGGAAGCAAATTAAAATTTTTCATGGTGTGAATTTGCATTAGTGTATTATTTGAAAGTTAATTAATGATATAACTTAAAAGAAAAACAGGTGTAAACTTTATTCAAATTGTTAAATAATAATGATAGTTAGAATAATCAATTTTTACATACAACTTGTTTTTAAAGTTTGATTTATTTTTTTCTTAAAAATAAAAGAAAACGATAACATAATTGATAATAAAGTAATTTACTAATAATAACACATAGTTCTCTTCTATGTTGTAATGTATAATATTTTTATGATAGCACACAAATAGATCAAAGCTGTGACGTTATTATTGAATTGTGTGTGTCAACAAAATATGACATGAAAAACTCTTTAATGTGTTGTGTGATAATAATCTGATTTACTGATAAAATGATATAATTGATGTGATCATCCTTGACCTCAACCACTTTTTCATTTATCGCAATTATTTTAAAAGCATGATCAAATCAGGATAAATACTGACGTAATTCGACAATCTCTTTGGACAGACAACTGGTCAGGAGGAAAAAAGAAGAATAAGAATTATAATTCTCATAACGTTCTATTTCGTAATTATTAGGCAATAACATAACAATACATATATACACGTGTATGTATGCTACTGGCGAGCAGTATGTATGTTCGCGCTTACACGGTATAAAACTCACAACGTGCGTATCCTGCGCTTAATTGCTGCCCGATGCAGCCGTTAATTAATTGATCATCCTACACCATGTAATGCATTAATAGCACTAAATTTAGATTGCTTTCTTTATTGTCTAGATTCTTATTAAATCAAGACAAGATACGGAATTTTGTCAGAAAAATTGTTTTGTAATTAGATCAGATTAGATTAGACGATCCGTATCAGTGACTCATCAATACTGATTGTAAATTATGGTATCGTGGTGTAGGACAATAGCTTTATTTATTTCCCATTATAAAACAGTTTACTATATTAAACCTTAAAAGCAGTTTTACAGTGAAGCGATGTACACACCGCACGTTTTCACCGTTTATGGAACCACCTTTTAATCTCTTAATTCTAATATACAGAACTGTTTTCTAAGGAACACACCGACTATCTTGTACATAATTTATTCTTATTCTTTGATAGATAAAGATCGTCGATGAGATGGACTTCGCAATTACATACGAAAAGTTTAAAGCATAGTTGGACCAAATTGATGAATTTTAAGATATTTAAATCTCTCCTGGCACTCTAATGATTACTAGTAAAATACTAGTATCGATAGAAAATTCAAGAGAAGCATATTGTACCTAATAAATAAATATATATATATATATATAAAATAATTTACTTTGTGAAGAAAATGAATGTTCCATGCATATAGTTGTTAAATTTAATAAATATTAATAGAAAATACTGTAGTTGAATTTTGATGAAAAATAAGAAAGATAAATATAAATTAGTCAGTATCAAATATTAATATTATAGTATAAAAATTAATAAAAGATAATAATATTTATCTGCTTGTTAATAATACTTTAAATACTAGTACTTTACTAGTAAAAAGCGATAATCATGTTTATAACTAAAATGAAGTAATTTTGTTTAAAATAATTATTAGTAAGTACTAGTATCAATTATATATTATTAGTATAAATATACTATTACACTACCAGTTTTAATGAAATTAGTATTAATATCATTATTTGTACCGGAGAGTGCTAATGCTAAAGTATTATAGTATATCGGTAAAATACTAATACTTTAACTATAACGTAATATTTAAATTAAATTTTATATGAAATTGGTCCATTCTGGCTCTAAATCTTTCATATTTTTACTTCTGCAACTCTCGTTCCTTACTCGCAAGGGAGCAATAATCATAAATATTTTTGTTTGCTAACATTATCGTTTACGTCGTTAGAGACATGTAAAGACAGTAAAGATAGGATGATAGATTGAACAATAGCATAGAGTATGAGGTATCCTTCATACGATAGTATGGAATATAGATTAGTTATAGAATACATACATGCATTATACATGTGTAATGTGTATTATGTGATGTGTGCGTGTGCTTGTTTGTAAGAGAAGGAAAAAGTGAAATAGGAGAAAGAAGGAGTAAGGAAGAATATGTGGAAAATCTACATTTTTGGTAAAATGCAGAAATTGTCATGGAAAAATTTGATATTTGTAAAACAGTGCAGCCAGCCCCAAAATGACAATATACGAAATACGAAAGTATAAATGATAAAATCATACAAAGTTTTACAATTTTTGTAAATTATACATATAAAAACATTTTCTTTAATTTCCTTATTTTGTCTTTTTTTTTTAATAAATAACTTATTATAGATAACTCTACTCTTCTTTTTATTTTGTATATAAAATATTGAAAAAAAGATGCACTTATCGTGAATTAACTGCTTTAAAAATGTTTTTAAATTATTATTAATTAAAAGTACTTTTAAACATCACAATTTAATAAAATCGCATTTAATTAAAAAAATATTATTGGAAAATCTTTATTAAAATTTAATTTTTCAACAAGAACTTTTAATGTATTAAAAGCAAATATGGAAAAGTACAGAAATTGGTATTTAATTTTAAAATATGCAAACAAAATTGTATACTCGACCTTAAACGAAAATAACATTCAACAATTCATGTGTAATCACAATCATGCATCAGTTAATCCTTGGTCCGAAAATTTTTCCGGCAATTATTGGTCTTTTTCACGTAGACAAACGACTAATTAATTGGACCAAAGTGAAAACTAGTTTATGTAATGAAAAACTATAATAGTATATAATATAATAAAAAAATTGATAGTTTCAATCAGTCATGTGAAATATTTCACTTAAATCATCGATGTTTTGTTTGTATTTTTACTTTTCATTTTTCATTTCATTTTTTGCATTTTGTTTGATATATATTTTGCAACAATATACACTAGTTAATAAAAAAAAAAAAATGAAATGGCAATGTGAGCCGACACAAGTTATTAGTGTGTATTTTTGTATATATAAAATTTATTCAAAATGAATAATAAGACGTATACGTTTCAATATTCATTCAGGTTCTCTTCAGTACAAAGAAAAATGATTAAATATAAAAGTTATATCTACATATAATGGTAGCGCATACAAAAAATATAAATTATTTGAATGTAAAATACAAATATACTAGTTAATAAAACTAAATGAAAATGTTATTAGTAATCACTTAATACTTTAGTTTATTTAATTTATTATTATTTAATTTACGCAATACACACAATCTATCTTTTTATTCCTTTTTTTTCTATTTTCACATATGTATCAATTATATTTAATCGATTTATTTAATTATTCTGTTGAAACATTTTGATTCTTAAAATAATCAATGATCGTGAAATTTTATTGACGTAATAACATATTGAGAAATTATTTTAATATTTAATACAACATCTATGATGTTTTTTTACAAATAAATGCTAGCAGAAATGATGTTTATAAATTTTAAAACTTAAAAATTGTATGTAAACAATACTTTTTGTTATTAAAATTGTTTAATTGATTTTATATTTATTATTATACATATAATTGTAATGATCTATTTCTCTCTTTCGATTCTTTTTTCTCATTATATCGTTTTTCTTTTGTTTCTCTTTAGTGATATTTTTTTATAATTTGTAATTTAATTATTCTTTTTTATATAATATAACATCTTCTAAAATCATATTTATATAATATATATATGTATAATAGCAAAAAGTGCAAACAATTTATTTGCTTAAACTTCTACTTCAGACTTTTGTTTCTGTTGTGTTTTTTGTTGTGTTTCTCTACTGGTCCATATTATGCGTATTGTATTCAATTTTGATTTCACAAACGCTGATTATATTAATATACATATATATGTAGATTTTACTAATTAATCTACAACTAAATATTGAAATGTAAATTATTATTAATTTAATTATATCAGTTATTCATAGAAAATCATTTGATCACCCGTTAAATCACTCTCAAAGATAATACGTGGATCATATCGATTTAATCGAGCCAGAGATAAAACATGTTTTACATGGATCGAAATAACAGTTAATGTAAATAGTTCATAATTCCACATTTATTATGCAGTCTGTCACACAAAAACGTATAAACGACAGTTTCATTTTTAAATTTAGAATTTTTATATACATAATTTGAAATACATACGTTATTATTAAATTTAAAATCAATTTCTGTTAATTAATTTCTCTTTAAAAAGATTTTCCTATGCTTTATGCTTTCAATTAAATTTCT